CATGCTCCCATCTGGGGATTGGGTCAACAACCTGGGCATGTGCCCTGACCGGGAACTGAATCTGCAACCTCTTGGTGCATGGGTTGATGCTCAACCACTGAGCCACACCGGCCAGGCCTGCTGTGACTTTTAGTTAGGAAATTTTAATTTCAGACCATCCTATGTGGTTACTTTTAGTTTCTGAGTTTGTAAGGCCGCCGTGCAGGCCTCCCCTGAGCTAGTCAGGTTTAGTATGCGGCCCCTTTTTTTGTTCACATTATTTTAACAGCAATATAGTTATTTGTATAGGTTTAAAAAAAAATTTGTCTTCCTTGTTACCAGGACATGATTGGGAACATTGCTTAAACAACTGAGACCTTGACTGGAATAAAATATGTGAGAATAATGTCCACTTAATCTATATGACTTTTAAGAAATAAGATTGATTATACAGAGCAATGCTTACAAAGCCCGTTTTTCTATTTTTATTTATTTTTATATGGTTTTATTGATCAGAGAGAAGAAGGAAGAGGTGGAGGGAGAGGGAGGAAGAGAGGTTGATGTGAGAGAGAGAGAAACATCCATTGGCTGCTTCCTGCACACACTCCGACTGGGGATTGAGCCTGCAACCTGGGCATGTACCCAGAGCAGGAATCAACCAACTGAGCCACACCAGCCAGGGCTACAAAGCCCTTTTGGAAAACTAGCCTGGTATCTGACTTACTGCTTTACAGGTGAGTGGGGAAGGTTACTTTTTTCCTGGCAAGCCCAGGAAACTTAGCATAGTTTGGGGGGAAGGGAGGATTTACCCCAAATTTATAGCTACTGTAGATAAAAGTAATAGGAGGTTCTTGGTTGGCTTCCTAGCCTCAAGAAGTGTTTAAAAGTCTAATCTGAGATTTCTTTCTTTATTTTTTTTTTGTGGTACGTGCCCCTAGCAGGAACCAAACCCGGGACTCTCTGGTCCGCAGGCTGATGCTCAACCGCTGAGCCAAACTGGCCAGGGCTAATCTGAGATTTCTTATGAAAACTTCTAGCAACATTTAAGAAGGCCTAGGTGATAATTTACTTGTGTCAATACCCCTATGTAAATAATCATAATAAATCTAATTATACCAGTTTTATTTTGTGATCAAGAATAATATTTCTTTGTGATTATTTTTGAAAAAAAAAAAAAAAGGTGAGTTACTGGACAAAAATTTTGTGTTTAATGGAAAACTGAATCATTTATAACACATTATCAGATTCAAGCCTGGTTTAAGGTCTTTGAGCTCTTTCGCACATTCTTTGTAAATTACAAATAACTGATAGGCATGCAAACTCTGGTTTTCTGGCAGAGATTTAAATGGCTTCCATCCCCACCTTGTGAAAGAACCAGTTTTGGTACCTACCTGTAAATTGGACTGGATTCAGTTATGCTATGAAATAATCAATCCTTATCAAATTCCTTTGATATCTGACTATAGCCTTCCAAACTGTTTTCATTTTTCTCCCTTTTGCCTGACTTGACATTTTTTTTTTTTTTTTTTTTTATCCTCACCAGAGGATATTTTTCCATATTTTGTACAGATAGAGTGGGAGGGAGAGAGAGGAAGGAGAGAGAGAGAGAAACATCGACGTGAAAGGGACACATCAAGTGGTTGCCACCCGCACGACCAACCAGGGCCGGGGACAAACTGCAACCGAAGTACATGCCCTTAGCGGGAACCGAACCCGGGTCTCTCCGGACCGCAGGCCGACGCTCTAACCGCTGAGCCAAACTGGCCAGGGCCTGACTTGACATTTTGAACCAAAACCGGACTGCCCAAATCCCGGGGCTCGCGGCTGCCTTGCTGAGACCATTTCTGCTGGATTGGGAGCAGCCCTGCAAGCTAAAGCCTGATGACCTTGTCAGCCCAAGGTGTGCCCTGTGACATGCGGATTGTTTGAGCTAAAGGCAACTTTAGCTACAGGCTCAAGAGAAACTTCTGCCTCCCACTTGAACTTACCTTGAAGAATTAGAATGAGAGGTTTTGGCCACAAGATTATCAAAAATAACTTATTTTGACCTATCTATAGGGCAGAGCATACATCTATATACTAAATATCTTTTCTTCTGCCCTGGCCGGTTTGGCTCAGCGGTTAGAGCGTCGGCCTGCGGTCCGGAGAGACCCGGGTTCAGTTCCCGCTAAGGGCATGTACCTTGGTTGCAGTTTGTCCCCGGCCCTGGTTGGGTCGTGTGGGTGGCAACCACTCGATGTGTCGCTTTCACGTCGATGTTTCTCTCTCTCTTTCTCCCTCTCCCTCTATCTGAACAAAATATCGAAAAATGTCCTCGGGTGAGGATAAAAAAAAAAAAAAAAAAAAATCTTTTCTTCTTATGTTTTGCAATGACCCTTTGAAGCCCCCAAGGCACCTTACCTCATCCCTAGGTCAGAAATGTCTTATGTACTCACGTTCCCTTTCTGTCTCTGAACCCCTCCTGCATATGGGGTCTCTGACTCTCATGTATGTGGGGTTCCCATACATATGCATGTATTAAATTTGGTTATTTTCTCTTGCTAATGTGTCTCATGTCTATTTGATCATTAGACCAGCCAGAAGAACCTTGAAAGTAGAGGAAAGTTTGTTTCTTCCCCACAACCTGATAAAAATCTTACAGAACTCACCACTCCAAAAGCGGGTATGTGGGCCCGGTTTCTCCTGGACAAGTCATTGTCTGGACCACTAAGGAAGTCGAGAGAAATGCTTGGGTCAAGCATTCCATTAATAAGATGTAACCAAGCCTGGATAACATCACCAAGAGCACCGACAGCCTAGCTTGAGAGCATAAAACTCAACAAGCCCTGCTGCATGACCAGAAGATTCCCAACAATCTCGTGGAATCCACTGCACTGGTTACACTCAAGGTTCAGCACTTGGCTCTTTACTTTAATATAAAGTTTTATACTGATATTTCTATTTCCTTTGTTTCTATCTCTCTCTCCCTAAAAACAACAACAAAAACATTTTTTTAAAAAATGCATAATTCTCTAGGACCCTAAAATAATTGCCACTTGCCACTACTGCTCAATAGATCGTTTAACTGGTTTTACAGGAAGAATGCTAATAAGAATCCTTGAGATACTATTTTTTCTACCTTGATTCATCCCACTCAGGAAGTTTATGTTGAACTCTGAGTTGTTCAGGATGAATGGTATTCATTTGTCTTGAACAATTGTCATTATCTTGATAATGTTGAACTTCCTCCGAGCCCTGTGTTCCTGGAAAGCAGCAACAATTGGAAGGCTTCCCTCCTTCCTCTTTAGTTTTCCAAAAATGGCTAATTATAAAAGACTACACTGCTGTCACATATTCCTAGGCAAGACCCATCTCCTCCTTCCTCAATGACTCTCTTGTGCATCTGCCTTTATAAAACTCTAGCCTCACTTTCTCTTCTTGAGATGGTACTTACTGATGAACATTCTGCCTATTACAATAGCCCGAATGAAACCATCTCCTTAACTGTCAGGTACATTTTATCTTTCACACTAGGGTTGACTGTATGGGTTTGAGATCAAAACTGCAGTTGAGCTGAAATGTGGCTTTAAAGGGTAGGACAATTATAGCTCCGTTAAACCAGAAATGCAGCCCACTAGCTTAAAAAGTGTTGATTCACCTTTACTATATTTACCTTTATTAAATACTTTTTGGGTGATAGTATCTGTACCAAACAAGGAGGAATAGCAATAAAAATACAATATTTTTATTCCTAAAATAAGGTAGGCTCTGAGCATAGAAATTGTGGCATATCTGCCCCGAGATTTCAAAAAAAGAAACCAAACACAAAAATTTATTTCTTATTTTATTTTATTAAAAAATATATTTACTGAATTTATTAGGGTGACACTGATTAATAAAATTAGATAGGTTTAAGGTGTATAATTCTATAGTACATCATCTGTAAAACACAAGGACTTATTAAGAACATATTTAAGCCCTGGTTGGTTTGGCTCAGCGGTTAGAGCGTTAGGCTGCGGTCCACAGGGACCTGGGTTCGGTTCCCGCTGAGGGCATGTACCTTGGCTGCAGTTTGTCCCCGGCCCTGGTTGGTTCATGTGGGTGGCAGCCACTCGATGTGTCCCTTTCACGTCGATGTTTCTCTCTCTTCCTCTCTCTCCTTCCGGCTCTATCTGAGTAAAAAATGGAAAAATGTCCTCGGGTGAGGATAAAAAAAAAAAAAAAAAAAAAAGAACATATTTAAATTGGATGACGGTATGCCCTAACCAATTCTGTATCATGTTGGGTAATTGCCTGCTATTAAATGATATATTTGAAACTATAATTGAAGCTGATTAATTAATTTTGAAACATTAAAATTAAATTTAATTAAAACCCCACTTTGAGTTGGAACGTGTGAGAAATACCAATAGATGGAAAACAAGTTATGTTTAGAATCTCCACATGTGTTTGGTCACTCCTGAGAGTTGGCACACAGACCTTCTTGCCTCATTGTTGTTATCAATAAAATAATTCATGCTGCCTGCTTTGATTTGGATTTCTGATCATGGGGTCATGAACTGAAAAAAACAAAAACGTGTATGTTTTTGAACTAGAAGGTAGTCAACAGGTGTGAATCAGAGCCAGATGCAGATGTTGAGTCTGAGGCTCAGTAGACTGGTACTGCTTAATGTCTAATTCCTGCAAGACAGAAAACCTTATCCAAGCTATTTTAGACATCCTCTAAGAGGAAGAAATTGAAGAGTAATGATGGCTTACTAAGTACTAGGAAACCCAGGAAGAGGGTGAGCTCAGTGTTACCCATGCAGATGTGCCAGAGGTGAGACATGAACTGCTGGGATCTGGAAGCCACCAAATGTGTGCTGCTAGTCACGACTGCCATTGTCTTCTCAAATGAGATCAAAGAATGATTTGAAAAGTGGGAGGCAACTTGTAGATTGTAGTCAGTGAGGAGGCAGCCAGTAAGCATTTCGGCTCCACAGAAACCAAACTAGATCTTTTATTCTTACAGTTTTATTTTTGTGTACACTTTTGTTTAACAATCACTGAATTTCTAGGCCAGGCTCAGGTAATTGAAGAGCCTTTATAAGTAGTTTATATTGTCTAGAACTAGTGTATGCTGCAAACCCAGTCTGGAGCAAAATGGGAAATAACATCTTTCTAAAGATAGGCTTAGAAATTCTGGTCCAGTAGGTTAAGATGTTTCCTCTCTCTGGTAGCAGGGCTGAGGTATACCTGGCTGCTAGGCCACCATTCACAGGTATAGCCAAGAAAACAGGGTACAGACCACCAAAAACAAGTCCAATCAATCCAGCTCGTGTTATAGTACAGGTTTCACAATTCAAATCACCTGTATTCAATGGTAAACTTATAAAACCTCTGTAAGATATGTCCGCTGTCAAAAACGGGATCACTGCCATTGGTAAAGCAGCAGCTATACGAGCCTGTGTCACATTTAAGATGCGCCAAAAAAGACTGTTTGCTATTAGGCCACTGAGAGCAGCATTAAATCCAACATATGTTGATCCATGTTCAAGTAGATTCCTTTCTGCTTCTGGAAGTTGGTTAATTTTTCTGGTTATGATATCAAAAAGGCTTTCCTTGACAATATCTGGTTCATGATTTTCCATCTTGAGCCTTATGCTCTCCTCCCAGCAGTCACTGCTTCCTCCCCAAACTAGATCTTGGAATTCGAGTGAAAACAATAAGATTATCTGAGAGACATTGAAAGGGTAAGCAAAAAAAAAAAATTTTAATGTACCCATTCTTGAACAAGGGCTGGGGCAGAATTTATGGGAAAATAATTTCTATCACTTCAACAGAGTGAAAGGAAATGTCTAGTACAACGTGAGCAGAAACAAGGCATGATGACAACAGATGTACGTGAATCAGTACAGCCTCGGTGTGCTGAGTGTTTAAAGAACAGGAAGACAGATTGAGGGTGGCAGAGTCTGACTAAAACACTTGTCAGAAGAAAGAAGAGAACAGGAGGAAGTGCAGCGTTGTTGAGGGATTGAGGCAGAAGAAGGAGTCAAACAGGAGTGCAGTTTCCACCTATGTCTTTTTTAGTAATTTTCTTTGCACATAAGATAGTAGAATGAAGTTTTTGTGCTCGTCCTTTCAATTCTGTGTATATGTAATGCTCCTGACCAATTCTTTCAGAAAAGAGTTCAGTCTGAGTTACATTCTTCACTCAATTATGCTTTTCATTTTATGGAAACAGGTGAAACACTTAGAAAAGAACAAGTATACCAAGGAGTTTTTAAATTGAATATGTTCTCAAGAGGTGGAAGATTCATACTGAGATGGTTTTCTTATCTGCACATAATTATTTCCCTTAAAACCTTATAGATTATAGAAATTTTAAAAATTATACAAGAGATTTTCTTTTTCTTTTTTTTTTTATCCTCACCCGAGGACATTTTTCCATTTTTTGTTCAGGTAGAGTGGGAGGGAGAGAGAGGAACAGAGAGAGAGAGAGAAACATCGATGTGAAAGGAACACATCGAGTGGCTGCCACCCGCACAACCGACCAGGGCCAGCGACAAACTGCAACCGAGGTACGTGCCCTTAGCGGGAACCGAACCCGGGTCTCTCAGGACCGCAGGCCGACACTCTAACCACTGAGCCAAACCGGCCAGGGCTACAAGAGATTTTCTTAAATGACTTGCATTTCAAATATTTTTGTCTATATTTGTTATATGTGATAATCCCTGTAGAAGACATTTCAAAATTTTGTTTAAGAGGCTAAAAATAATTTCAATTTCCATGAATAAGAATTATTTTTGTTTTTTGTATTTGTCTAAATGTATAAAGCAATTCTTAAACTACAGTAATTGTTACCATTTAAAAAACCATTTTCCCAAATAGCATAATCAATCTGATATGTTTATAACATATATGTTCAATAATAATAACTAGTCTGAATTTGTCTGTAAGACTAAAATATGGGCCCTGGCCAGTTTGGCTCAGCGGTTAGAGCGTCGGCCTGCGGTTCGGAGAGACCCGGGTTCGGTTCCCGCTAAGGGCACGTACTTCGGTTGCAGTCTGTCCCCCGCCCTGGTTGGTCGTGCAGGTGGCAGCCACTCGATGTGTCCCTTCACGTCGATGTTTCTCACTCTCTCTCTCTTCCTCTCTCTCCCTCCCATTCTATCTATACAAAAAATGGAAAAATATCCTCGGGTGAGGATAAAAAAAAAAAAAGACTAAAATATGGAAGTGTTTAACTTAAATATCCAGCTACAAGGTATTTACTATAACAGAACATTATTTTTTTCCACATCTACCCTTTAAATTCAGTATATCTGTTAGGATATAGTTAAATTTAGTAAAGTGTATAATTAAAATATATCTTAGAAGCAGTTTGTTTATTTATTTATTTATTTATTTATTTATTTATTTTTTGTACGTGCCTCTAGTGGGAACCAAACCCGGGACTCTCTGGTCTGCAGGCCGATGCTCCAAATGCTGAGCCAAACCGGCCAGGGCAGAAACAGTTTAAATTCACTGGAAAACGTAATATCTACTTGTTTTTTGCACATTTTTAGTCTATTCTATTGTAACTTGCTAGGTTCTATTTAAATCCAGCACAGGTATAGACCATGCCTGTATTGCTCAGGGCTTATCTTTAGCATCTAACACAGGACTTGGCACTTGTGCACCTGAAAACAATTTGCTGAATGAATATTTCCAAATCAGTAAAGAGTAAAAAGATAACATTTCAATGCCTCTGGAAGGCAGGAATCTTGACTTTTTCTTTTATTTCCTTCTATTTTTCCTTCCGTTTTCCTCTTTCTTCCTTGCTTTGTCCCTTCTTCCTCCCCTCCCCCTTTCCTTTCCTTTTTTTTAAAAAAAGGAATATATATTAGGTAATCAAGAATACAATTAAAATAATTTTGTGAATGAAATTCCTGTCCACCTAAACACAAACTTTGACTAAATTTGTACATTAACTAATAAAAATCAGGGAAATTAAAAAAATAAATTTTTTTCTTTATTGATTTTAGAAAGAGAGGAAGGGAGAGGGAGCGAGAGATAGAAACATTGATGAGAGAGGACATCGAATGGCCGCCTCCTGCATGCCCCTCACTGGGGACCTGGCCCAAAACTAGGGCATGTGCCCTGACTGGGAAGAAGACCGGAAGTGAAGCGGCGACCTCTTGGTGCGTGGGCAGTGCTCAACCACTGAGCTATGCTGGCCGGGCAAAATCAGAAATTTTAAGCATTTAATTTGTTAGTCAAATTAGAGACTGTTGAGAAACATTAGTCATTCCAAACAGCGCACGTTAGTAGGTACATTTCCCAAACCAATACTCAGTCATTTTCTGCTTTCTGCCCTCTACCTCTGACATACCAATAGTCCCCCTTATCCACAAGGGATATGTTCCAGGATCCCTAGTGGATGTCTGAAACCACAGGTAGTACCAAACCCAATATAGACTATGTTTTTTTCCTAATCATACACAATGAAGCTTAATTTATAAATTAGGTACAATAAGATATTAATAATAACTAATAATAAAATAGAACAATTATAACAACATACTGTGATTCAAGTTATGTGAAAGTGGTGTCTCAAAGTATTTTATTGTACTGTGCTCACTTTTTCACTTAAAGGAAGCAGTTTATGGCTTCTCTTTGGCATATCCAAATTGCTAGCATCACTACTCTCGCACTTTGAGGTCATTGTTAAGTAAAATAAAGGTTACTTGAACACAAGTTATCAGTTGGTCTGATAACTGAGATGGCTACAAAGTGACTAATGGACTAAGTAGCAGGATGGCATGAGATGTCCTAATGCTACTCAGAATGATGCACAATCTAAAATTTATGAATTGTTTATTTGTGAAATTGTCCATTTAATATTTTCGGACTAAGGTTGACTGTGGGTAACTGAAACTGCAGAAAGCAAAACAGTGGATAAAGGGGACTGCCGTATTTCTAGCCTCTAGTCGGAAGATAGTTGAGGTTTTTAATGTCTGGAGGGAGAATTCTTACACTTACTTGCATTTATAATACTATTTAACTTACTGAAGTTGTAAATTTCAAATATAATTACAAATTTTACATTTTAATTTTCTCAAGTACTTCACACAACCAATCAAGGATGGCTTACAAACCCAATAAATCTTTGTAAGCATTTAAATACCACTTACAAATCTGATAAGTTTAAATTTAGAGGTTTACTAATAAATTTTCTTTTAAAATTTGAAATATTGTTTTTCACAATTTTCAAATTAAAATCACAAATCTAATACCAGTCAAATTCATTTACACATTTCAGATTAAGTTCATTAATCTAACAGCACTTAAACATTTCATATTTTTTGTTTGTTTGTTTTTTTAATCCTCACCCGAGGACATTTTTCCATTTTTTGCACAGATAGAGTGGGAGGGAGAGAATGGAAGAGAGAGAGAGAGAGGGAAACATCGACGTGAATGGGACACATCGAGTGGCTGCCACCCGCACGACCAACCAGGGCCAGGGACAAACTGCAACCGAGGTACATGCCCTTAGCGGGAACCGAACCCGGGTCTGTCCGGACCGCAAGCGGACGCTCTAACCGCTGAGCCAAACCGGCCAGGGCTAAACATTTCATATTAAATCACGTTTAACTAAATCACTTTTGTTTTAATCCTCACACAGGAACATTTTTTTGTTTTTTGTTCAGATAGAGTGGGAGGGAGAGACAGTGGAAGAGAGAGAGAGAGAGAAACATCGACATGAAATGGACACATTGAGTGGTTGCCACCCGCACGACCCAACCAGGGCTGGGGACAAACTGCAACCGAGGTACGTGTCCTTAGCAGAAACCGAACCAGGGTCTCTTTGGACCGCAGGCCGACGCTCTAACCGCTGAGCCAAACCGGCCAGGGCTAAGTAAATCACTTTTTTTTTTTTTTTTCCATTTTTTGCACAGATAGAGTGGGAGGAGAGAGAGAGAGAGAGAGAGAGAGAGAAACATCGACATGAAAGGGACACATCGAGTGGCTGCCACCCGCACGACCAACCAGGGCCGGGGACAAACTGCAACCGAGGTACATGCCCTTAGCTGCCCTTAGCGGGAACCGAACCCGGGTCTCTCCGGACCGCAGGCCGACGCTCTGACCGCTGAGCCAAACCGGCCAGGGCTAACAATCACTTTTAATTTGTTACATTATCAGATGATCAGGGGTGCAATATTGCAGGCCCATTGTTGCCCATGCCTGAGACAACAGGTTAGGACTTGGGAACTTTACACAGTTGGAGATTCTGAAGGAACCTAGACGCCACTGACTGGACAATTTCCCCTTAAGACCCAGCTTAAAATTAATTTTTTCTGTAATGTGACTTTCACACCCATGCCATTTTTGTCCAGCTAGTACATTGCATTGATAATCTTCATCATACCCTTTTTTTGTGTGTGTGTGGTATGTGCCCCTAGCGGGAACTGAACTGGGGACGCTCTGGTCCGCAGGCTGACGCTCAACCGTTGAGCCAAACTGGCTAGGGCCCTTTTTTTTTTTATTATTTTTATTTTTTATCCTCACCTGAGAACATTTTAGCATTTACTTTCAGCTAGAGTCCAGGATGGAGAGAGAGAGAGAAACATCGACATGAGATGAGAGAGACACATCGAGTGGCCGCCACCCATACAACCCCAACCAGGACCGGGGACA